GCAAAACCAAGACAGACTTATAATCAAGCTGCTACTGGCATCACTACAACTGCAACTCTGCACTGGCTACTGAAGATGGCGATGGAGCACTTATGAAAATATCCTGAGTGCTGTGATGTTAGCTCAACGCTCAACATTTAACACTCGTCAGGTGCATTACTACAGACTTCATATCAATATTTAACTGAGATACACAAACCACGCACAGTCTCTTGTTACACAGTTGATCTTATCACAGAGGTCTACAATTAGCCATGTGATCTTTAAACTTAATAATGTTAGTTAGATTACACACTCTAACTCCCACTATTTCCACAAACTTCAATATTCTTCTTAGCAATTACTGTTTTAAACTTGGATGGAAAGTTCTGGTTGTTCATCCACTTGTAGACTTTGGTCTTGATCCAGAACTTGAGCTTTTTGTGCAAACCTACTTTACAGACCTGGCTTATTTGTAAGCAGACTGTTGGTTCCTCACCTCTCAGGCAGGTGCACTCCGACCTTTTTATGATCTGCTTGTTAAGGAGGTCTGCGTCTGTGGCTTAGGCTTCGTAATGCCGGGGTGCCGGGTTTGATCCCAGCTGTGGACGGTTTGTCTTGCCTTGGTTGCAACAGTGGTAAGAGAGCTGACCATTGAGAAAGCAATGGCAACCACTGAACATAATATATGCCTAGAAAAACCACAACAGCTAAAAACAAAATCCTGGGGTTGGTTCTGCAACATCCTGTAAAGGATACGCAACTAACTTTTTATTAGGTAGGGCAATGGGTCTATTCTTTTTATCCCTCCCTCACGCTGTCCCCCCTACCCCACCCCCAAAAGGGGCCCTGGAACTGACATGGAGAAGAGTTCGAGGCCCACCACTACTATGACAGAAAGATGTGTGCAAACGGGACATGAATGATACAGGTATTGAGGTGGACTCGTCTGAACAAAATTTCATGAACCAAGTTGTGTGGTGAGGGCACATTAAGAAGGGAATAAGAATGAAGGACGAAATTATTGCAGAAAGGATGAGAGCTGAGCGTCTGAGAAGTCACACACTAATTACAAATGTTGACAGCAATGGTCCTGAAATCCTATGTTCTAACTGTGCAAGACTTTTCTTAACATAGGCCTGTTTTACTAGTCACAATCACCATCACCATGGGCTGTGAGTCCCATGTCTCCTCAAAGCACAATATAACACTATCGTCTGGAAAGATGAAAACGTGTCAATACAATATATAAATAGCTGAGATAGCACAGTTCCTAACAGTCACATTCCTGAAGTTTATCAGATGATATTCATGGATGAATGAGATTTTCGACTCCAATAATAAATTGTGCAACATATTGTTTTTACATTCATTTTTTAAATTAACAATGGAGAAACATTATTTTGAATATATCAGGTTAAGTAAGTTCTCACAAACAAATTATCTGTGATGGTGAACTGATTTTATTCTTGTGCTGTACCTGACAATGTCAGTGTCTGTTCCAGATGAAAACGATTGGAAAGTCAGTATTAAGGGCTGGTAACTACGTGTACTATCAAAGCCATTTGTCGCATAATTTTACGTTGCTATGTCCCCTCTCATTAACACATAGTATGCCTGTAAATAGAGGACATAGAATTGGATTTAATATCACAATTTTTCCTGCGATGACAACTGTCATTTCCAGTGTGTCCTTGATATCCTGTGTCCTCCATCATGCTAGTCATTTCCTAGCTCTTCTTCCAAGAACCATACCCTCCGTTACTGCACTATCCAAACCATTATTGTTTTTAATATGGTCAAAGTATTTCAGTTTTCTACCTTAATTATTCACATAGAAAAAAATGCAGAACTTTCTGAATGCCTCTCATACTTCTTCTTCTTCTTCTGACTTTCTAGCCCCCAGTGGAGCATAGACCCTCAACCAGCTCAGGCCAAGTCGTTCTATCCTTCGCTATAGCATGCAGCTCTTCCCATGTCCCTCCCATCTTTTTAACTTCACTCTCTAGCTGTCTTCTCCATGTGTTTTTTGGTCTTCGTTTATTCCTGTGGGTTCCAGTGCAAAGACTGTCTAGTTATTTTGTTCTCAGGTTTTCTCAACATGTGTCCTATTCAACCACAGCGTCCTTTCTTCACCTCTTGGTCCACTGGAACTTGTTTAATTCTTTTCCAAAGCTGTACCTTAGTGATTATACCATACCATATAATTCCCTCTATTCTGTGCAGGAACCAGTTAATGAATGTTTGCAGTTTATTAGTAACTACCTTAGTTGTTCTTTGTGTTTCTGACTCATACATTAGACCCACACATTTATTAGTTCCAGTAGTATTTTCCTATGACAAGACAAGTTAATGTATCAGATCTTAAAGATAGTAAGAGTTAAAAACCAGTTTTGGGGTGAAACAGATTAATCAACTACATGTAGATACTACATACACAATTCTGAGACAGTTTTTTTTATACAGAAGAGACAGTTTGCTTGCAATACACTGAAATGATGGCATCAGAAGATAAAAATGTATCACATAAGTGCCCACAAGTTTCCATTCATAGGAAGAGAAAATAAATATCACTAACACCATTACAAGTGTAACTCCATCTATGCTTATACATGGTTTTTCAGCACTAGAGGACATGCATAGAAATTTTTTTTCACAACAATAGTATTCATTCAGAGCATTTTATATAAATAAAAATTGTTTTCATCAAAAAGTGTTTATTTTTCCTATGTATGTAAATGTATGGGACACCCCATATACAGGAAATGGTCCTTTTAGGAGAAATGAGATGCTGGAGTGGCACATGAGCTAACACACCTGTCTATTAACGAGACAGTCGAAGGTTTGTAGCCCTACTAGAAGATATAAAACCATTACCAGCTTTTGAATGCAATATTATAGAGGTTATCAAACCGAATCAGTTTTCTACCATCACAAATGCCCTCATTTCAATATCATCATGTGTACTATCACCTTATTTTTTTTTTTCATTATACAGTGAAAATATAAATGGGTCTATCATCGATATGCCAGGAATGTTTATGTTATGCTGATGATACCATCCGGATCGTGACAGTTCAGAAAGAACTACAGGAATTGGTAAGATACGGTGGTGGTAGAAAGTGATAAAATGGAACTCAGTTTGAATAATGGGAAGACAGAAGTAATAGTGATTTCCAAGAAAATATTAGTGTATTAATGTATAATAAAAGCAAAGACATTTTTTTTTAGGACAAGTGCAGAAATCTAGGCACATGGATCAAATCCGAGGGAAGATGTATCACAGAGATAAAGAATAGGATAGGCCGAGACTGCATTATACAACATGAAGAACATTGGAGGTAAGGGAAATAATTCTTGCCTGCAATACAGAGCCAATTTTAATATACGGCTGTGAAGCCTGGACAACTAATAAACAAGCCGTACAATATCCTAAGGCCTCGGAGATGCGATTTTATAGAAAAATCCTTCGAATTCATTAGACAGCTAAAAATAGCAACTCAGATGTTTTGAAAAAGGCAAGTGCTCGAAGACAACTTTTCACAAACATCAGAAACAGAGAGTCATCATTTTTGTGTTGGGTCATGTTATGAGAAAAGTGAAACTGGAACATGTTGTGACCGCCAGAAAGATCTGTGGAAAGTGAGGTAGACGAAGATTCTTTATTATACTGCAACTAAAAATCATATCACATTGTTGATTGCTAAGTACACATGGGCAAAAAGTGATCACATTGTTGCATTGGCTGGGACTGAAAGAGTTAAAAATACAATTGTAATTTTTTTAAGGAGAAATAAAACTAAAAATACTGTTCAGTGTTGAAGAAGCTCATATTTTCTCCAGCGGATGAACAGTATATTTTCAAATACAAATGACTGTAAGGATTTAAAGTAAAGATGACAACTAAATGAAGCATTTATATTCTCTTTGCTATGCAGCCTTGTCCTGGTTACAATAGAATCACACCATTTGATAAGCTAGTCACAACACAATTACCCCAATTCACAGATGGGTCACAACAGAATCACTCTGATGAACACAATCTTTTTATTTTCTAGAAGCTGAATGTACTCTTCTAGAACGTGGCCAGTGTCTATTTTCTAGAAATTGAATGTGATTACCGAGGACTATCATCACAGCACTCTGAACAGATCAATAGGAGCTCCTTTCTCCTCCTCAAAACTTCCACCTGTGTAAAACGTCTGATCAAGCTAATTCTCTGCTAATTAATTAGAACAGTTTCTACTCTGAGTCCATGTCTGACTGCTCCAGGCTGCTGCACTCCACCAGCAAGGTCAAGGATACTGAGCCCTGATTGTTCTTCTTTATGGTATGCGTCTCGCTTGGCATCATGTCTGTCCAGTACCTGGCCAGTCATAGTAACGACCTTGTGTGCCAGATAATCAGCATGCTTACTGCCTTGAAGGATAATCCCATTCTTGTTTGAAGAAGCTGGCCTGGATTTTCTTGAACAAATTAATCAAGACGATCAGAATTCCCACATGTGTCAATTCTTGAGTACCCAGACATGGTCACCAGTGAAAGGTTGTAGCAGCAAAAGCACTGCTGATCTCTTTGACCTTTTCCTTCATGCTCCTAGTAAACATTATACACTCTCAATTTCCCCCGGTGGCTGATCCCTTCAAGCCTCAGCATCACCTACATCTATGTTCACACAGTCACTGTTTTGATTAAAGTGTCAACAGCAATCTACTCTCCGCAGCTGTGTCAAGGCCGACATGGGCTGTGATGCTATTTGAAACAGCTGACAAATGCATCTATTCATTTTCTTGATTGAGGCTTTAAACAAAATAAAAATTCACATGATCTTTAAGAATATCACAAATATCTTATTTTCATAACCCTAACATAATCATTCTATTCAGTAGAAGCTAGTCTTGATCACGTAGAAAATGACAGACATCTTTTTTTCTGGAAACTGAATGTGATCTTGTAGACTGATTTTAGTAGATTTCTCGACATCAATAATGAAAAGTGAATCAGATGCTCCTGTGATGTCTCTATTCGTCATCTTGTAATCCGGCTAACACATTATCATAAACACTCATCTTGGAGGAGGACACCTGCTCAAATGTCATTGGACGGCGAGCAGACGGGTACACTAATGGTTGCAAATCTGGCAGGTCATCGTGGCCAGCGCTGTGTGAGGAAGAGGTTGAGGTCTCATACTGCATGTGTTGTTGTTGTTGTTGTTGTTGTTGTTGTTGTTGTTGTTGCTTCTCCTGCTGGTATTGGTTCGGGTTGATGGCGGTCTGACGCTGCAAGCTCTGCATGTGTAGCTGGCGAGGAGCATGCAGATCTTGCTGCCGCTGCTGGCGCTGATACTGCATCTGTTGCTCATGGTAGGAGGAGCCGAAGGGCTGCTGTTGCTTGAGAGAAGAAATCATGGGAGTTCTTTCAATTGGGTTGTCGTAATCCAAATCATCTGTGACTGGAAACCTCTGCTCAAACTGATTAACCTGACCTTGACTTTGTGATTGTCCTTGACTCTGTGAATAGCCTTGACTCTGTGAAAAACTATGACCTGGAAGTGAATACCCTCTTTGTGACTGACTGTCAGACGCTATGGTGTGGACATTTTTAGCTTGTTTGTTTATGCGTGCATATTCCAGATTGTCCCGTTGCTGCCTCTGGTTTTCGGCAACAATATGGGTAACAGGGATTGGTCTCAGCGTCGAGTACTGAGAACCAGACTCACTGAAACCTGACTCCTGACCACTTATGACAGATACACTTTTAGGGTAGGCATAACTGGCATCCATAGAGCTGCTGGCTGAACCGGAACTACCGCCGCCAGAGTAGATCACATGACCTGGCCCAGTGCCATAGCCTGTTTGTCCAATTCCAGAATAAGCCTGCCCGCCACCTCCATACACAACCTGGCCACCAGGAGAGGGGCCTCCATACACAACCTGGCCTCCAGGAGAAGGGCCTCCATACACAACCTGGCTCCCAGGAGAGGGAAACGGCTGGTTTCTGTCAAGTGTTGTGATGCGGATACCACCAGTACCAACCTCTGACCCCCCCACACTCCGGCCACCAACACCCCGAGGATCGGAACCGTCACCAAGATAGATGGTGCCACTCCCAAATGATGGACTTTTCGTCAACTGTTGCCTTGATCTGGCATCAATATTACTTCCCGGAAAAGCATTAGGTGGGCTCTCTCCTGAAGGTCCCAGCTCTGGAGCCATTGTGACCTTCTTCTGGCCAGCGATTCCATTTCTTTTCAGAGTAGAGTCTGCAGATTTTAGAGCTGACGGACGGCCAATGCTTGCATAGCCAGGTCCATCAATCTGGTATTCATCTGTCCAAACCACCTCCTTGGAGAGAGAAATTAGACAAGTTTATGTATCAATTATAATTGTGTGTGATGGATTTTTGTATTTCAGTTGAAAGGACTAATTTATTTTTTTGCTTTATACTATTTAATAATAATATTGTAGATAATAAAATACATATAAACATGCCAGGTAATAAACTGTTCTCTGTGTGTTTTGTGCACAAATAAATTAGAGAAATACGATAACTCAGAAATAAAGCCTACATCTGTGTGTTGAGCTTCCCACTCATGACAGGCTGCATCCTTTAGAGACCATCATGAAGCAGCAACAGATCAGACACTTCAATGACTACACAGATGAGAAAAATCTTCCTCTGCACATTAGACACCTTCAGCATAGTTGGATCAGGATAGTTTGCACGACAGTATAGGAAAAGCGTGCATCAGGCATGCCTGATGGCCCCTTTATGGTCCCAACACTCCCACAAGTGGCACCAACAGTCGCAGACATCTGAACCTTTCTGTCACACAGTAGGACATTTTACAGTCAGACATCTGGACGTTGTCTGTCACACAGTATGACAATTTACACTAAAAAATCTGGACTCTGTCACATAGTAGGACAATTTACAGTCAGACATCTGGACCTTGTCTGTCGGCAGTAGGACATTTGACAATTAGACTTCTGATACGGACACTGGAACGAATGAAGTCAATGACAGTGGACATTTAAACCTTGTCTGGCATACATCAAGACATTTTAGATCATTCTTTTGATCGTGACACTTAAACAAATTGGGCCAATGGTAGCAGACAACCTTGAATTTCTCTGTCACAAAGTATGACATTTGATGCTTGGACATATAACAATTGTCTGTAATGCAGTAGGACCCTTACCAGATGTAATTTGAGCTTAAGCAGCATTTCAGTAAGACTTTCGATGCACACGCTTGAACCAAGATGAGGCATTTAGTAAAATATTTGGCCAGCGAGCTTCACCCATGCCCCAAATGAGTTCTGGATGAATGTTATCCCCCATGCATCTGGGTTAGGCAGACAAGTGCCCGAGGACTTTATCTCTGTGGTCCATCAACTCTGAGATACCCTGCCAGCTTGGTTTAGGCTTGTATGAGCCATTATCCGCAGCATGCTTGACGAGGACGTGTGGCCGGAGTCTTGATGATTCCAAAACCCAACAGAGAGCCTGCTAATGCCCCAAGGTGATGCATGGAGTATCTTCATTCATCTCCTTATATTCTCTGTGTGACTTCTGGGGCCCTATTGTAAGGAAAACAAGAATAGATCCACTGCCTACCCAAAAGCATGTCGTAGGAGTCAACTAATTGTTAGCTTTTTTCGAAGTTGGAGTGCATCTTCCTGGAAGGCAAGAAACCATCATACTGCATACAAATAAGTCAGGTCAGTAAAATGAATGTGCATGCAACACTCAGGTTCTGGAACAGGACTAGAGTCTAGAAGTAGACGAACAACCAGAACTTTCCACCAGAGTTTACAGCTGGCGAACGCAAAGAAGAAGATCACCTTATACATGTCACAACAGCCGGAACTTTTTTTCATATTTGTGACCGAAATCCCTGCATAATTATTAATAAACAAACACACATAATAGAGAGAAAGAGAGAGAGACAGAGAGAGACAGAGAGATATGAGGCAGGAAGGCAGAGAAGGTGTCGGAAGCAAGTGATAAAAGGAGTTGTTTACCGTCTGCACAGCTTGGTTCTTGGTGCCATAGAAGAAGTAAGCGTAAATGCAGACGATCAAACAGACAATAAGTCCGATTACTGCAAAGGCGAAAAAAATACCTCCAGTGATATGCAGTCTGCAAGTTTAGAAAAACAAAAACATATGAGAATGACAATATGATGTATACTGTTCAACTACATCTCCTCCTCATTCCTCTCATCTACCACTACAACAACTACTAATACTGCTACTATTGCTACAACTAGGACTACTAATACTACTGCTAAAATTGCTATAAACATTACTATTAATACTACACTTGCTGAAAGATCCAAATGTCGTGGGTTCAAAACTGGCACTGATTAAATTTTTTCAAAAGCGACCTTGGCTCAAATTTTGACACAGCCCTGAGTGGGTACCAGGTTAAGACCTGGGAAGTAAAGGTGGCCGGTGGGATGTTGACCACAACACCCGCTGAGTGCCAGTTATTCTATAAAATATAAATCTAGCCCTATATGCCCAATACGCCTGCATTTTTACTATTACTACTGTTGCTACTACTATTCCTATTACTACTAATATTAATACTACTCCTACTACTACTACTTCCCGAAACATCTCTCCAATATTGAAAAGAAGATGCTGAAACCACTCCCTCTCTATATTAACAGCTCTGACCACAGAGGTAGTTGAATGTTGAATAAAGAATCGACATCATAGCACTCTGGACACCCTCATAAGAACTCCGTCTTTATCTTCAGCAGCAAATGAAGAGTTCCAATTCCAATGGTACCAGTAACTGTCTGTTTGTATATCTGTCTCACTGTTACTTTGGGTGTTGAGAATCGGCCAGATCCCTTGGTAACTTCTCACAGTGCCATTCTCTTCAGACCGTAATGATCAATTTGCACTTCCGCACTGTTCACTCACTCCAAGAGAGACATCACACCGTCTAGCTTGTCATACATCAATTCACCATCAAGTGGTTCAGAACCGACAAGTCTATCTACCTGCTCATTTCCCAACACACTGACATTACTTGGAGAGAATATCCAAAGGATACTAACCACCTGAGACCTCTGAAGTGATGCTTGCCACTCTGCACAGAGCATACCTGTCTCCCTCTTTCTCAACATACTCTGTGAGTCAGTGACAGTCATGACATATGTGTACAGCTGATTCTGAAGCCAACGGAAGGCAGCAGTGACTGCCTCCACCTCCATTCTCAAACTAGACGTTGTGATTTATATGCAAGGCTTTGTTGCACTAAGTGACGTCCATTCACTTTTGCTATGAACCCTCATTCACTTTGTCTGCCCCTCAACACAGAGCCACCTGTATAGATAATCACATCACTTGGATGGGAACTGTGACCATAAAGGTAATGATATCCGTATTTTTTTTTTTTTTAAATTAGTTGCGTATCCTTTACAGGACGTTGCAGAACTAACCCCAGCACTTTCTGGCTGTTGTGGTTTTTCTAGGCAAATTTACATCCAGTAGTTTGCCAGTGCTTTCTGGACAGTCTGCTTTCAGTACCATGGTCAAAACCATCGCAAGACAAACAGTCCGCAGCAGGGATTGAACCAGGCACCCCGACATTTCTAAGAGTGTTCGCAACGCCTAAGCCACAGACGCTGACGAGATATCTGTCACAGTGTTAAAATCTTGCTCTGGTGATATATCATACATCTCGCTTTGGAAAATCTCCTAATCCACAGCCTAGGTGTTCTTAGTTCAGAAGGCATCAATCTCCAGCGTACCTTTCTCTAAACAGTTTTACTACAGTCATATATATAATTAACAAAGAGACAATGCATTGACTGGCACTCAAAGAAAGAAGTAGAAAGACAGAAGGACACACTAGACAACATTAAAATCAAAAGCTATAGTTAACGTGCCGGGAATCGAATTGGTGTGTGCGCCTCGATATGGAGACAAGCGTACTAAGAGCACAACCAACTAGGCACCCCATAAAAAAAGGTGTCTTCATTGGTATGTCTATCATACAGCTTTAAATCCACAACTTTGGAATACAGACAGATTCATCATGCAGCCCTGTGAGCTGTGTTTTGCATGTGGAATGCCTTTCATTTGTACAGCGTTTGAGTCGTGGTATTCAATATGGCCGCTAGCCAGTTTACATGTCACCTGGTGAAATGCCCTTATGTAATAATTTTACGTGTGTGTAGCCCACTTATTGTGATTGACTACTTCCATCAACGACAAACTGCATCTCTGGTGGCAAATGTTGGCTTTGGTGCCTCTAGAAACTGCCATATGCATTTACTGTGTGCGCATATTTCTGAATTGTTCCGGGACATATTGTTCATCAGTTTTCAAGTGCAACAGTGAGAAACATTATATCTAATTTGCACTGGCACAGGAACAGAGCAAAAATGGGGAAATTTGACTGCAATGAAGTTGAAACCTCGACTAAGACACTGTACACCAACAACTGTACTCACCCTTTGTTTCCTATCGCTCCGCCAATGGCCATTAAAATTGACCCGAATATAAACAATATTAAGGACACGCCAAAGATGACTATCAGACATCGCCAGGGCAGCAGCCATTTGTGGTAATGTCGCAGCTGCAGTTTAGTTGCTCCAGAGTTGCTCTGGGGCTCATCACTGCCCTCGTCCTCCGAGTTCACGAGAAAACACATTGTGGCAGCTTAGAGTGGGGTCTGGCTATGGCAGCCTTCTATAGCACTCAGATTATGTTTGAGTCCCAGAAACAGTCTTTGAGGTCAGCTGTCATTTCCAACACTGTGCAAAGTCACGAGGCTGGGAAATTGTTCCAAGTGTTGCAGTTCCATTGTATACCTGTGAAATAGAGAATGTTTAACAATGTTTAAAAACAATTTTGATACATTCAAGGGCAGGCTGGTTTGACACCATTTAGTGGTGATTTGATGTGTAACAAGGTAGATGCTATAATGTTCCTTTAGGACCAAGTGAACAATGCAAAGGCTTAAATAGATCCCTATCCCGGTTTGAGGAGAATGGTGCTGCAAGGAATGACCAGAGTATGTGGCCAAAGTTAAACAATCAAAGGAAAGGCAAAACAGGTACGAGTAATCTGTCACTGGTTCCATCGGAACTGAAACTCTGCACTCACTGCTGAAGATGGGGATTCAGCACTTATGGGAATGTCCTGGGAGCTGTGATGTTGATTCTAAATTCAGCATTCACTATTCTATGCCACCGGCGAATTGGGTGCATGATGCTAAATGCAAACTTTATAGGTCAATTTCACGACTGCCGTCTTTACTTCCCTGGACATTAAATGGTACCCATTTTAGGGTTGGGTCGACCGGGAGGTCTAGGCGAATATTTGGCAGACACACAAATCCATCTCGATGTAGATTTGAACCCAAGAACTTCAGGCTGGCACACGTAGCCACTACGTTAATGCTAGTCTTAATGAACACTGCTGGTTGCCTTATAAAGCGCAAAGGTTTATTATTATTATCTTTCGGCTCAACACAACAGATTTCAACCGTTAACTAGAAGCACTTAACCGCACCGTTGCTTAGGAGAAAGTCAGGTCTTGGTTAGATATGTCTGACCTACATGACTACAGAAGTTGGTACTACCTCTTCTCGAGACAGAGGAAGTGCAGCATCAAAACGTAAATTTTATGGCAGGCCAAACCAGTAGCAGTGGTTGCTAGCTTTTAAAGGATGAAAGCTCTTCTAATCCAGCAACTTCTCCGGCTTATTTTCTTCCAAACGTGTTGGTGTTATTATTCCCTTGGAGTTGAAGAAACGTTTTAAGGGCACCTCGAAATTTTAACTCAAATCATTCGGGATGAATGACACCATTTTGGAGGCTGCCTCTCAAGATCGAAATGCGTGGCGTGCAACTCTACACACGGACGCGGCTACAGGTGAAGCAAATAGAACAGTAAGACTGTTTAAGAAAAAGATAGACAGAAAGGTGACTACAGGTGATCCCCTTCCTACCAAAACACTCATTCGATGTCCTCACTATCAAAGAACTTTGCGGGCCTGCATCGGCCTCATCAGTCATCTTCGTACTCATACTTCATGAAAAAGAGTGGTCATCATCATCTTGATGAACAACACACGATTATTCTCTTGGAGTAAACAAGGCAGGCTACGTTCGGATCTTACTTCATGGCCATGTGTGGTCTTTAGCATACTGCCCAGGCTTTGTTCTATAGAGAGAAGTAACTTCAAATCTACTGTTACGATGTACTCCAGTTTTCTCCTTCTTATCACATGATTCTTATGCCTCCACATATCACGACATAATAACATCGTCTTGAAAGGTGTCAAGGTACCAAGAAATTTTTAACAGCTAATCATCATCATCATCATCATCAGGTGCCTTGCCGACTGGCGTGGGCGATCATGCCTCTCCATAATCTGCGATCTCCTGCAGCATGTATCAGTTCGTCTGCCGACACACCTCCATGCCATGCAACAAGACTGTCAAGCATCTTCTCTCGTTGTCTTCCTCTATCTCTCCTTCCATATATCTTTGCAGTGGTCACAACATGTTCTATTTTTCTCTCTTCTCATAACATGGCCGAAAAATGATGACTGTCTCCTTCTGATGTCTGTGATAAGTTGTCTTAGGGCTCCCGCCTCTTTCAAAACCTCTTGGTTGCTCTTTTTGGCTGTCCAAGGTATTCTAAGCATTCTTCTGTAAAACCACATCTGCGAGGCCTCCAGAAATTGTTTGGCCTGCCTACCGATTTAACAGCCAATAGATCTTTTAATTTTCCCTCCCAAGAAAAAGCTCCGAAACCGACATGGTGGAACAGGAACGGATATCCTGATTAAAGGAAACAGATGGTTGTAGCAGCCACCAATTCTGTGATGTAATCATTTCACTATCTGGTGTCCGGACATATTCCAGTGACAACATGAAGTACCTGGTTTATCTCCCCTGTGATCGTTAGGCGGTGGGAAGTTCAAGTGAAGAGGCGGAAGTGATGTATTTAAGGGGGATGGAGGGGAAAAACAGGACAAAACGCACATCAGTCTTCTTGTTAAAAACGTTTGTGTGCCTAGCTATCTTCTTCTTCTCCTTCTCCTTCTCCTACTCCTCCTCCTTCTCCTTCTTCTTTTTCTTCTTCTTCTTCTTCTTCTTCTTCTTCTTCTTCTTCTTCTTCTTCTTCTTCTTCTTCTTCTTCTTCTTCTTCTTCTTCTTCTTCTTCTTCTTCTTCTTCTTCTTCTTCTTCTAGTTCTTCTTCTTCTTCTTCTTCTTCTTCTTCTTCTTCTTCTTCTTCTTCTTCTTCTTCTTCTTCTTCTTCTTCTTCTTCTTCTTCTTCTTCTGTTACTGTTGCAGCTACTACTGTTACTTTTTATTCTTGTTCTCCTCATTCTTTCTTCCTTCTTTACCTTCTCCCTCTTCCCATTCTCCTCCTTCCCCCTTTTGTGTGTGTATTTTTGCTGTTCTTCACCTCCCCTTTTTCTTCTTCTTACTTTTCTTCGTCATCGTCACATAACATACTTTGGATCTTTTCTCCAGGCGATGGCGGAGTGGTGGGTAATGAACAGGCGGACAGATTGGCTGGATCTGCACCACTGGGTGGTGAATTGGTAAATGACAAGGCAGATGTGGTCAAGGCCCTTTGGGAACAAGCAACGGAATCAGTAGAGAAAGAAGATTATTATGGCATAGAGAGAATGAGGCATCTGGGTGTAACTAGAGGGTCTGGCCGGCTGACTACACTCAGAGGAAAGGCAAGACCGACATATAACCAGATTATAATCGGTACCATCAGTATTGGAAATCTGCGATGGCTGCTGAAAATGAGGACGGAGCATGCATGGGAATGACTCAAGTGCTGTGATGTCAATTCTTGACTCAAGGCAACTCACCTCGTCACACAACAGAATACCCAGAAATTGATCGCTAGCGAACACGTGATGTTATTGAAACAGCCTGATAAACATGCTGGCATACATTGGTTGGTACTTGAAATTGCAGAATTAGAGACAGTAGAACATGTTAGACAACAACGAGAATCGAACATTGTGCTTGCCGTACTGAATGTGAACTTCTCGCCTCCGCATGACCAGAAATCAAACAGCACCATTTGTTAGAACATATTTGGAGAGATCATTTTCCACCTTTTTTTTTAAAGCGTTTGGAATGAAGTACTCATGATGTTATACCTTTCAGAGACAGACAGTCAGTCAGTCAGACAGACAGACAGACAGACAGACAGACAGACAGACAGACAGACAGACAGACAGACAGACAGACAGGCAGACAGGCAGACAGGCAGACAGGCAGACAGACAGACAGACAGACAGACAGACAGACAGACAGACAGACAGACAGACAGACAGACAGACAGACAGACAGACAGACAGACAGACAGACAGACAGACAGACAGACAGACAGACAGACAGACAGACAGACAGACAGACAGACAGACAGACAGACAGAGCCTTATTTTTAAAGGGTTAAAATCTGACCAGGCACTTTTGTCTAACGCCCTGACAGATAGACAGTGTACGACTTTACTTTTCAATAAACAATAACTGGGCACCAGATCTGAGAGATTTAGAGAGACGGAGAGATAGTGAGAAAAAAAAGGAAGAGGAAAGATAGAGGAAAAATAAGACAAAGAGAGAGCATGAGAGCCAGGGAGACTAACGTTAATGCCAATTATCGCAATCTTGATGCGTTAAAAAAATTGCTGACTCCTAAATTAAAAATAACATGGGTTTACAATCCGACAAAGTACCAGAAAATGTTGTACGTCTAGACTTTGTGAGATTAATGTAAGCTCTTCTGCACTTAAGTTGCCTTTATTCGAGAAATTAGTATCATAACGTGGCATGTCGGCAAGCTTTAGTGGCTAAGGTGCACGATCCCTAAGATCACCAGAATCTCGGATCAAGTCTGTGTGTGAACTTTTTTTGCCTCTAACTTGCTCACTTCCCCGCCAGCTGTCACTGAGACTGCAGAAAAGAAAGGAAGGTGTAGGCAAGAAAGACAGAGAATGGCAAGAAAAGAAAGAAAGAAAGAAAGAAATAAATAAAGAAAGAAAGAAAGAAAGAAAGAAAGAAAAGGAAAGAAAGAAAGAAAAGAAAGAAAAGAAAGAAAGAAAGAAAGAAAGAAAGAAAGAAAGAAAGAAAGAAAGAAAGAAAGAAAGAGAGAGAGAGAGAGAGAGAGAGAGAGAGAGAGAGAAAGAAAGAAAGAAAGAAAGAAAGAAAGAAAGAAAGAAAGAAAGAAAGAAAAGAAAGAAAGAAAGAAAGAAAGAAAGAAAAAAAAAAGAAAGAAAGAAAGAAAGAAAGAAAAAAAGAAAAAAAAGAAAGAAAGAAAAAGAAAGAAAGAAAGAAAGAAAGAAAGAAAGAAAGAAAGAAAGAAAGAAAGAAAGAAAGAAAGAAAGAAAGAAAGAAAGAAAGTGAAGGAATGTGATGAGGAAGGGAAGAATAAAGCGGAAAAAAGAGAGACAGAAAATACAAGCGACAAGAAAAGACACGAAAAATAAAGACAGTCAAAGAATAAAAAAAGAAAGAAAAAGAAAGAAAGAAAAGAAAGAAAGAAAGAAAGAAAGAAAAGAAAAGAAAGAAAGAAAAAGAAAAAGAAAGAAAAGAAAGAAAAAGAAAGAAAGAAAAGAAAGAAAGAAAGAAAGAGAAGAGAGAGAAAGAAAAGAAAAGAAAGAAAGAAAGA